AATATACGAGAAAGGACAAGACCGTACTTCGAGATAGATTGCAGTAGCGTCGCAGCACCATGAACCGAAATAGATGAGTATTTCTCTACTAGCTTTTATACTGTTGCTGGACGCTGTATATATTATAGCGCTAAGCCGCGATCTCAGAATGCCGGTCGGATGAAGGCTTCCGCAAAATTTGAAATAGGTGAAGGTAATGAACATCAAGTGCACGAAGGCTATTGTGTATGTGCATTAGGTGTTGGTGGGCGATGTGTGCATGTAGCTGCCCTTGTTTGAACAATGTCATAGCAAGCAGCGCATGCAAAAACACATAAATGCAATCCTGATCTATATCTTACAATGTCGTCAGACAAAGATAATCTGTGTACAAGCAAGCTAAGTAAGTGAAATGTACTCTTGGGTGATCGTGCCGAGGTTATTGAGAAACCTCACCATGCTCGAATTTGAAAAGCCGCGTACTGCGCCCAGAAAACAAACAAATTGAATGCCAAGAGTATCAGTGAAAGTAGCCACGAGAAAATGGCAACAGGGAATAGCACCGAAAGATAAAATGAGACCGGCAATGGCAGACTTAACGAGTATTTAAAATCTAAATTGCTACCTTTTCATGGTACTGCAGAAGAACTTTGCGATCTACGCCGTAAACATTGGAGTTTGTACTAAGATATAGCAGAGTGCACTATCACCGGAGCCGGATATAAAAGCTTCGATTTCAATAAACCTATTTCAGCAACAAATCGATCAATTTGAGATGTTCTGCATATACACTTTAATGTTTTATATATTTCTTTTTACAATAGGAGCGATGATATTGTTAGATAAAAGCACACCTCAGCCGCGATACAGAAAAAGTGTAAATCTACAAGGGTTACTTCGTCCTCTAACATTTTAAAGATCTTCACTCTTCGGTTTGCTATTTCAGTATGAACACGAGAAGTTGCAATATTCTTCGGCTCTGTATTCTGTACTATTGTAAATTGGCCGTCTTTTATAGGCATAGGTGACCAAGTATACTCTGCTCGACCCTGTAACAGCTACATCATCAATGTGGAAAGAATGTCCCCTTGCAACTACATCTTGGCCATAAATTATCCAGCAATGATTTTGATACAATTTGAGTTTGTCACCGATTTTTGCCTTGATATAAAGGCAAGGCAAATACGTAGTGTCCAGCACCTGTCATGGCCACCAGTAGTTTTGCGGTATTGTGGTGTTTATGTTCGCTCCAGGTCACTGTCTGAAGATCAAATTTCAAAGATGTGGGATATCCACTATACTTGAAACATGGAAGTCTCAAACTATTCACAAGGCTTGGATTCCCATCGGATGTCGGAAATATGATAACATCACCAGATTTGTATCGTTCAGGGGATTGGACGCCGTTCGGGTATATAAGTGCTTCATAACTCACTGCAACAGATGGTGCCGTACTCCTCAGAACCATATAACTACTGCGTCTTCGAAACTTAGTGTGAGCCAAATGGGCCTCCCCCCCCTTGCGCCTTTAATTTGTACAACTCTGAAATCCAGTCCAATAACGGACTCTCTCCTCATCAGCATATATTCATAATTTAATTTAGCTACTGTGACATGATCAATTTCAATTTTGTGCGTTCAAAACTTCAGTGAAAGATTCTCGAGTTCCTTCCTAGCCGCCTTACTTTGTCCTTTGCATATTGTAGCTCTGCTTCTTGAAGTGATATTGTGTCATTGAATTCTAATCATTATCCATTAATTTAAAGTGCAAACCGTCGATTTTTAAACGCGCCTTTTCAGGTTTAAACACAGTGTTCTCGACAGCATATTCTTAGGGCTGTTTTCTATCTTTAGATCATCTATTTATTCTAATCAAGGGTGTAGCCTTATCCTGTATGACAAAGAGCAGTCGAGCCTCACGCTGTTCTTCCTTCTTACTAATTTTGCTCTACGGTGTGTGCGATTGTAATTTTACATTCATAACGCGTCATGGGAACAGCATCTTGCGTGAGTATACATAGTTGCTTATCCATACGTAGAAACTTGGGATCGTTGTTCTTTCTACATCATTTGTGACATTTGAATGTTTTTCTGTCCACATGATCACCAGGCTTCATACGGCCTGATTTCGTAATCCAAGTAACAAATCTAGATACTGGTTGAATTGGTACACGATGCCCTGAATTGTCATGCGTGATTGTATCAGAACAATACGCTGCCGCACACCTAACCATCGTGTAATGATTCTACATGTCAAACTCGCTTATTATTATGGGCATACGTTATTAGCATGTAACAATGTGTCTGTAGCGGATTCAAATGATTAAATATCGCTATAAGAACATATTAAGCACTTCCGCTAACTAAAAGCTGTACAATGGCCGTTGAAGTTTGATTAGTGTGTAAACTAAATCACAAATTATCCACAACAGTCGATTTTTAACACTTTAAAACATGTCTGTCTCCGCTTTCAAAACTAGGTATATTAAAATAAGACTTTCATAAGTGTGCCAGCTACAACGCATTGAAGCCCTTTATGTTTCTTCGTTTGGAGTGCTTTAAGTTTTAACGCATTCAGTTTTAGTAGCTTTAACACATCAAGCTTTGTTAGTTTTCCCTATTTGAGAGTTCAAAGCATCAAATCGGTTTAGCATCCCTCATTTGGAGCGTTATAATATGTATCGTATCAAGCCTTAGTAGTTTCAACGCATCAATCTTTATTGATTTCCCCATTTCAAGCTTTGTTAGTTTCAACTCATCAAGCCCTATTGGGTTTCCCCTTTTGAAGCATTATCACTGTAAACGCATCAAGCCTTAAATTAGTTTTCCTCATTTGAGGGGTCGTAATCGTAACGCTTCAAGTCTTATTTGTTTTAAATGATCAAGCCATTTTAACCATTTTGAAGCGCTATTGCTTTTTAAACGCATCAAGCAGTAGTAGTTTCTTCATTTGAAGCGTCATTGGTTTTAACGCATCATGTCTCATTCGCTTTCCCCGTTTGAAGCGAAATTAGTTCCAACACATCCCGTTTTTTTCCATTTAAAGCCTTTTGAGATAGAACGCATCAAGTCTTAATAGTTTTCTCTATTCGAAACCCTTTCAGTTTAAACACACCAAGCCTTATTTGTTAACGTATCTAACAATATAATTTTTCCGCATATGGAGCGTTAATAGTTTTAACGCATCAAGCTATATTGGTTTCCCCAATTTGAACGCTATGGACTATATCGCATCGGGCCTTTATAGTTTTAACGTATCAAAACTTTTTAATTTTAACTTAATTTCCCCCATTTGAGACTTTATTTGTTCGAACGTATCAAGTCTTATCAGTTTCAATGTATGTATCATGTTTTAGTTTTAACGCATCAAGCTTTTTGAGTGCTCCCATTTGTTGCACAAGCGAAGCCTCTCCGTTAGGAACGACCCTTAGTTATAACGAATCAAGTCGTATTGACGCATCAACCCCTATTAGTTCCCCTGTTTGGTAGTTTCAACGCTTCAAGCCTTAGGAGTTTTATCGCATCAAGCCACATTAGATTTAATACATCAACGCTTATCATTTTTGACGTATATAGCCACATTAGTTATAACGTATTAAGTCTCAATAGTATCAACGTATCAAGTCTTGCTACTTTCTAAACGTATCAACCCACATTAGTTTCCCCCCATTTGAAGCGTTATTACTTTTAACCGTCAAGCCGTATTAAAATTCCCCATTTGAGTCAGTATTTTTTATAACGCAGCAAGCTTTAGTAGTTTCGATGCATAAAGATTTAAGTTCTCCATTTGAAGCGTTATAAGTTTTAACGCATTAAGCCTTATTAGTATCACTATTAATTTTTGAAACACTTCAAGAATTTTTAAACGTATCAAATTAATTTTAGTTTGAAGACACCAGCCCTTATTTGCTTTTCCCATTTGAGGCAATATTAGTTTCTTCCATTTGAGGCGTTGTTCGTTATAATTCATCAAGTCTATGATAGTCCTAACGTATCAAGACTTGATATTGTTAACGCATCAAACACTATTGTGATTCTCCCTTTTAGGTGTTCTTAGTATCACATCAAGCCTTATTGTCAAGCCTTAATACGTTTTCCCCATTCGAGGCGTTCTTAGTTTCCTCCATTTGAGGTGTATATTATGTATAATATTTTTACGCATCAAGCCTTAATATTGCTAGGGCATCAAACCTTGTTGTGATTCTCCATTGTAGGCGTTCTTAGTTTCAACGCATCAAGATTTGATAGGTCTAACGCATCGCGTCGAAGTACACAGAGATTTATCCCACTGATACTAACCACCAATGGGTGATCATAGGGAATTATTTAGTCCACTGATATCATCCATCAATGATGATTGTTATCCACCATTGGATGATCAGAATTAATTGTTTTGTCTACGAGTGTTATCTACTAATGGATGATCAGAATTGATTGTTTGGTCCACTGATGTTATCTACGATTGGACGGTCAGCTTCACTGTGGATTGTTATCCACCATTGGATGATCAGAATTGATTCTAGGTCCACTGATGTTATCTACTATTGGATGATCAGAGGTGATGTTGGTCTACTGATGTTATCTACTATTGGATGATCAGAATCGATTGTTAGTCCACTGATGTTATCTACTATTGAATGATCAGAATCGATTGTTAGTCCACTGATGTTATCTACTATTGGATGATCAGAATCGATTGTTAGTCCACTGATGTTATCTACTATTGGATGATCAGAATCGATTGTTAGTCCACTGATGTTATCTACTATTGGATGATCAGAATCGATTGTTAGTCTTCTGATGTTATCTACTATTGATTGATTAGAGGTGGTTGTGTGGTCCACTAATGTTATCCACCATTGGATGATCAGAGGTGATTATTTTGTCCACTGAAGTTATTCACCATTGGATCATCAGAGGTAGTTATTTGGTCTACTAATGTATGCAGATTGGATCATTAGAGGCAATTGGAGGGTGAGAAAATATGGATTGAATAACACATAGAAGTCGACCAAAGCGAATGGAATGGGCCTGTTCAACCCCAAGTTTTGATATATTGATTACTATGTGTCGGATCTACTCATTGTAGACCCGAGATATTTCTTCTGTGTAACGTGTCATGACGTGATTCCCGCTGCATTTAATTCAGCGTCAACTACGGTTGTCCACTGAACATCCGCGCCAGAAACCCTTGCTGTTGTGCGGGCTCTATTTCCTCTTCACTTTCCACATCGTCATCTGAAGTAAGCTCTGGCTCCTCATCTTGGCCAGCCTCCACAGATATTTCCGGTAGGTCTGCCTCATTGGGACACACTCCATGATCAGCAGGGACATCGCTACTAGTCAACTCATCTGTTTCGTCGCATGAAGGGCTCTGGTGAGCTTCGTCCATGGCCTCATATATATCCTCATCAACCCCACTTGCGATTTCACTGTTCTCGTTTTCTATTTTTAGGCTTTCGAGTTTGTCCAGTTCGGCCTGTCTTAAACTCTCTTCACGAGCCAGTGCCTGGGAAGCCAATTCTTGCGTGTTATCGTTCATCATTTCCAGTAGTTTGGCCATGGTTTCCTGCAGCATTTTGTGTCAAGGCCAAATTTTAATACCCAATTATGGGACTGACAGGAATTTGGGCAAATAAAACAAATGAGGATTCGGGGTCAAGAGATAAGAAGTTACCTGATGTGCTTTGTTCTTGCTTTGCAGGTAGAAGTTAAGCTCCTCCTGCGCGTGGAAAGCCTTCCACATCTCTGCGATGTTTTCAGTCAATCCGCTGTGGATTTCCTTCAAACGTTCACTCGACAACTGCCGGAGCTGCGATTTCGCGAGCAGAAGAGACCTATAATCGGAGTTTTGGGATAAGTGAGAACGTTCTAGTGCCAAAGACATATTCAGGATTCAAACCCCAATCATTCAAATGATCCACAATCAATATCCAGATTTCTCATCATCCCATGCTGGATAAAACACAGACGACGAGTAGATGGAAAGGTGTGTATCATGCAAATACACAAGTACATGTCGGGAGTTTGTGCGTGTCTTTGCGTACATATAAGTGCAACAATTTGCCACCTACGTTCTCACGACGCAATCTGAGTCCTGTCGCCCATAACCGGGGTCAGAGATGTTCCTCATATCCTGTTGGGAGCTTGCAAAGCCTTGCCAACCAAGCGTCGACTTGGGTTTTCTTTTGCGCTTAGCTGTCGTGCAGTGTAATTGAGGGCGACTATTAGACCTTCAGAAATTCTTTATTCTCATGCTTGTGCATTGGCACGTTGCTGTCAAATGGAGACGCACAATGCCGTATACCGTGATATACACACACAGCACCTATCGAACACTCGTATAGGGTACATAAATGTCTGGAAGTACTTTCATGTGCAAACCAAACCTGTGCATGTATGTGCTATGGCCATGGAGAAACTGTACACTAGGACGCATTAACATGATACGCTTTATGCGAGGGCATCACCATGTGTGACGTACACTAGTGCATATGCGGGCGATGTTTGTATACGTATACGCACACTTCATCATATGTGTATGGTAACTGTACATCCCTATCCCAGGCTTGTGCCTGCTTGTCGAGTATCTATCCAGCGCTGGTGCTAACCATACCTACCTTTGGGGCTACCAGAGGTCTCCTCCAACGAATGCGTCGACCTGTCATCCCCACTCACAGACAGATTGTGCACTGATTTGAACCGTGGCGCTACTGGTTCTGATGGGCCGTGTTCGCTCTCGGATACGAGCTGTGTGAATGGCAGACGATATGAAGGACACATTAACCAAACGTTAACGAACGCGTACATTGTTGGATATGGTGTATCGCACTCTTATATATGATATCAGACGTTTTCGTCTTTGATGACAGTGTGTGTAAATTTTAGCTCTACACATACACGCACATCGCATGTAATAACAACGAACTCTTTTCTCGGATTACAAACAAACACCGAACCTTTGACGTTGCCGTAACACACACGCACCCGCGTCGCTAGTGCACAACCGACGTCGGCATTGGCAGAGATAACACTCATATACTGTACTACACAACACATCGCATCACTACTTCATATTCAATATATAACTCGTGAAGAAACTGAGCACTGGCTATTTCAACAAAGCTCCTGCTATACCGCGCCAATTGAGATAATGGTGATGTCATACGCTCGCAAGGATATCAAATTTTTGTAGGTAGACTTAAAGGCAAGTGTTCTTCAGTTTGAGATCCAATTATCCGCAGCGTACTGACTGCGCTAGGCTATTCTGACTCGCACTAGGCTATTCTGACTCGCACTATCCCACTGTCCGAATGGACTTCTGGGTTCACAATCAGCCGACCATGTACAGAGCACATGGTACAATCTCTCATCGACACGCACCTATTTATACACAAAAAAGGACCTGCACTCAGACACTGGGACATTTTCATTCATCGACTGTATCAGTAAACAACTAAAGCATACGGTAGCATCGAGACTGCGCATAATTTCCTCTCTCTCCCGTTCCTCTTCATCACTGTCGAGGTCGTCGTAGTTTGTATGCGCCGTTGGCGGTGTTGTGCTGTGGCTGGCTGACTCTGAGCCCTCCTCACCTGGATATGATGGCATGCACAAGCAAGAATCAAACTCACCTCTACGCAAACAGAGTGGTAGGAGCTGTACGTCTCTAAGTATCATATGCAGCCGCTTCACGCATAGGGCACCAGTACAGTACCCACTCAACGCATACGCATAAGCGTCATATAGGGGTGTAGTCTGCACACAAATGGCGTGTATGATAAGACCTACCTTCGCTGTGAGTGTGCTCTGATTCGTCGTCCGAAAGCTCCAGCTCGCGTAGGTCGTCCTCCGGCACACTAATACAGACAATCAATATGTGTTGTATGAGCTGACAATCAATGTGTGTTTATGAGCTGATAATCAATGTGTGTTTATGAGCTGATAATCAATGTGTGTTTATGAGCTAACAATCAATGTGTTGTATGAGCTGACAATCAATGTGTGTTGTATGAGCTGACAATCAATATGTGTTGTATGAGCTGACAATCAATGTGTGTTTATGAGCTGATAATCAATGTGTGTTTATGAGCTAACAATCAATGTGTGTTTATTAGCTGACAATCAATGTGTGTTTATTAGCTGACAATTAATGTGTGTTTATTAGCTAATATACCCGACATTTGTGCCAACAGTAGCACCCAGGCGACGATAGTACCAGAACTAACACAAATAATACAGCCGATCGGTGGAAGATTCGCTTATAACACGTACAACACAGGCGAGTGTAGTTGGTAAGAATAGATCATGGTACCAATGACAGACCACGCCCCATTTGATAAGTTAAGTTTGTGGATAGCAAATTGTCTCTGTGTCTGCCACTGCGCCGCATGTATGTATCTGTTGCGGGAGAGGACATGGTTTGGATGATAATACTTATATGTGCAATCCAGCGCCACATACGTTTCACTCCAAATACTGTGAACGACAATGAGACGGCAGAGTGTATCGTGTAGTTAGCACACACAGACGTGTTACTCTGAAGCATAATCCAAGGAATATCAATACTTCATATTGGAGATGTACGCAGGATGCAAAATCGCAGTTCTTAGACAGATAGGTGAGGTGTATACTCAGGCTGGGTTGCTATGGAAATGAAATGCAATCGGAATAAACCATACCTAGGGATTGATTTCGTAGGCGCGGCTGCTTTGGGTGCAGTATTGACACTTTTAATCAGATCGCTTGAGGCCTTCAGTTTCAGCTTGGGTTTCGCACTGAGACTCTGTTGGCATGGCAACGTGGTTTTCTATTACTGTCTGAAGAGGTCATGCACATGTCGCTAAACTAAAAACTTGAGAGCGAGAATGTCGTGGCCCTAGTAGACTGACTTATGATCGTCTGCGAGGGTGTGGTGACTATTTGTATCGCAGCGTACGTATAAAAAATATAGAAAAACCGGAGAGGGTCCAAGCAACAATTGTAGTACAAACTCTATCAACTCACCAGAGTTCCTAGAACCATGATCTGAAACACATAATAAGGTAGTAGAGACGAGTAGATGAGTCCATGTCTATTTCTAAATCATCTTCCCCATATTCCTGATAATATACTTGTATTCAATTGCACAAATATAAAGACTAATATATAATAATATGTACTCATATATACTACTATATATATATATACATATATATATATATAC